GTAGCAGAATGTAGGGTACACCCTGGGCAACGAAAACTTGTCCTGTACAACGTCGGAGCCTGACTTTAGTCTAGTTTCGACGGAAAAATGGACACAAGCGTCAAATATACGAGGGATGTGGCGAGTTCATATGCGGTCATACGCTTAACACATAGACTGTTAGGCGCACTCACTACCGAGCTCTTTTTAAGATTTTGCAAAAAACACGTAAGACCACACTTTTGAGTGCACAATATCATTGCACCCTCACTGCTTAGACAAGACACGAAGCTTCGGGAGAGAGTTCAAAGACGGGAGAAAATAGGGCTGATGGGTCCCTGAAACAAACCGTATGATGAACGGCTAAAGAAATTAGGTCTTTCGCACTTAGCTACCGTCAGCTTAGGAGGGACTTGATTGCCACTTGTGGGATTACAGGTAACCGGACAAAGTTATTCTCCGATCAAGTACGTATGGGGTCCTCATGGAAACGCATGAAGGATAGCTCACCAGAGGGCAAAACCTCAAGTGGATTTCTTTTCACTGCGAGACGTCCGCCCCTGAAACTTTCTACTGGTGGATATGGCTATTGAACCGTCCGTGGACAGCTTTAAGCGTAGGCCGGACAATCATGCAGCAACAAATTTACTACGTCCAAAAGGCCGATACTTTCATAATTCACACACATTTAGCGGGAGTACAACTGATTTCGTCTTTTACTTCTTCACATTCTCCCTTGTCCTACTCCCCCTACCACTCCAACTTTTGCGTCCTCTAAACTATTAATATAATTATTGGTATGCTACTCATCTTGGAGCCAATGGAAGCTGCGATGGTCGAGTTCATGACACCAAATCAAGGACGATCCAGTGAAGTGAATCTATTCGTCCTACCATACCGCATGCACAAAGATCTTCGCAATATTTCCCGCATTTCGAAAAGCGTAGCAGGAAAGTCTAAAAGCCAAGGAGGATCTACATCCCTGTGGACTAGTGGTCCTTTCAGTAAGTCATGGTCCCAGAAATTCTTTGTCCTGTCAAATGACTCGTTCAAGTAGCGACTAGAAAAACAAAGATACTTATGTGGAAATAATCATCACTTGATTTAAAGCCTCTTGTCCTCTAATAACGTTTGAATTTGAAAAGGAGTGTGGTAAATGCGAAATCTTGCTTTCAAATGCGAATTTAATGCGCATTCGATGGTGAAGAACTAAAAACACAAGCCTGGAAAAGAAACGGAAATAAACAGGAGCGCATCTCAAACCACAGCGGATATCCCCAGGAATAGCTCCAAGACGGTAAGACCGAGTTTGAACATATGTTAGAGACAGAGACAATCAAACCATCTAGCAGTCCGTAGTGTTAACCCCCACATGTAGTACACAAGGATAATAGGATGGATTGGAGACCTTTTGGTGACCACCGCAGGCTCAACGCTCAGGCTACTCCAGATCGTTATCCTGTCCCACACGTACACGATCTGACTTCGTCTCTCAAGGATGCTACAGTGCTTGGCAAACTTGGATTGACAAGTGCCTGCCACCAAGTTCCAGTTCACCATGATGATGTCCCTAAAACAACAGTGACCACTCTGTTTCGCCTCCTCGATTTCTTTCGAATACCTTTCGGTCTCCGCGATGCCGCGCAGACGTTCCAAGGTTTCATCCACGACGTTCAGCGTGGGTTGGATATCCTCGTAGCTAGTCAAGACGAATAGACCCACCATATCCATTTACAGGCAGTTTTTGAGGGACTTACAACATACCCTCTGACATTCAACACAGATAAATGTTGGATTGTTGCATCATCACTGACTTTCCATGGGCACGTGGTCGACAAAGGCGGAAAACGCCCGTTGCTCGAAACAGTGCAGGCCATTCAAAACTTCCCCATACCATCGTCGCTAATGTCCCTGAGCACATTTTTCGGTGTGGTCAGTTACTATCATCGTTTTATTCACCTATGTGCTCATATTCTGACTCCGCTGACTAACCCCTTGAAAGGGGAAGTGTAAGTCTTTCGAGTTCAGGAGCCCAAGACTCGTTTAAGACTATTAAGACGGCTATAGCAGATACCACAATGTTAGTGCATCTGGACGTTCGACTTCCGAACGGCATCTCGGTTGACGCATCTAACACAGCCATTGGGGCTGTACTAAAACAACAGGTGCGTACTTCATGGGTACCTGTCGCATTTTTCTCTCGGAAGTTGTCCGCATGCGAAGCAAGGTATAGCACTTTTGGTAGAGAAGTCCTTACCAATTACGCTTCTATTATACATTTTCGACACTTCGTCGAAGGTCCGCAATTTACGATATTCACTGACCAAAAAACTCGAACGTATGCCCTCCATACCAATACAGATTAGTACTCCCCACGTGAATTGCGCAGCTTAGACTATATATTTCGCAGTTTACGTCTGAACATCCAACATACTTCTGGGGCAAACAACCCTATGGCAGAAAATTTGCCTAGAAAATGCACCACGTCACTGCCACCAACCACTGACCTTAACCAAATGGCTGAACTTCAGCTCACGGATTTAGACTTACAAAGCCTTCACGAGAAACCTCCCTGACGATAGAACGTGTCCCTCGTGTGAAAAGTGAAGCAACTATACTATGTGATATGTCTACAGGTACTCATCAGCCTATTGTTCCCTGACCTCACGCCGCACTGTATTTGACTGTCTCCACAACCTTTCATACCCAGGGATAAGCGCAACAGACAAATTGATGTCGGCTAGATTTGTGTGGCCTCGTATAAACCGTGATGTGCGTAATTGGACGTGTTTGTGTGAGATACCAACGCGCTAAAGTTCACAAGCATAATATCACTCCAGTTGGGCCATTTGCAACACCTGATGCCCGTCTTAGTTATGTCAATCTGAATGTTGTCGGTCCACTACCCCCTTCTGATGGTCACGCATACTTGCTCACCTGCGTCGATCGTTTTATTCATTGGCCAGGAGCTGTTCCAAATGCACATGTAACGACTGAGACTATCTGTCGTGTGTTCATGGTAAGATAGATCGCACAGTTTGGATGCCCGGCTACGGTGACCACTGATCGTGGGCAGTAATTCGAGTCAACAACATTTAGGAGGCTGTTAGAGCCGTTGGGTTGCAAATGCATCAAAACAACAGCATGTCACCCATCTGGAAATGGACTAGTAGAGCACTTTCACTGCCAAATGAAAGCCCCGTTAATGGCCATCGATAACACCAAGTGAACAGAGTACCTTCTCCTGGTCCTCCTTAGCATCTGTTCAACCCTAAAAGTTGACATCTAGTGTACCAGTGCCTAGTTGGTGTATGGAACCACACTCCATTTACCTGACGAGATTATTTCATCGAACGGTGCTGAGCCAGGTGTAGATGATGTCCACTGTTACGCTGAGTACCTAAATTGCATTATACAACGACTCCAACCACCTCCCATACACACTCAGTACAAGAAAGTGCAAGTAGATACCAGACTCGAGGACAGCACCCATGTTTTCGTGAGTTGCACCGCCGTACGTAAACTCTTACAACCCCCACGCGGTGGACCTTTAGAGGTTACTAGTAGGAAAGAAAAATTCATCGTTGTCGATCGATTTGGCTGCCACGACGCAGTAAGTCTGGACAGACTTAAGGTGGTATACATAGGGGAATCGTTAGCCTCCCCTTCAGCTAACCCAGCAAATTCCTCCGCACCTTACTCCAAGTCAGATACCGTAACTCAACCTTTTATTAACTCTAGTAGTTCTGCTACAACACCTAGAGCACCTGTTACACTTACAGGTAGACGCATGCACCGGCCCAGCCGGTACGCAGGATTTGTTAACTAATGATTTCATGTTTAACATTGACTAGTACTTTTATTTATTTTCGCATTTTATCGTAATTATTTTTCATGGTAATTTACTCTTGCTTTAAAAATGTCATAAAAAGTATTTAAAAAGGCCTAAAGAATAAATATATATCAAAAAGAAACCAAAAAGATAAAGAGTAAAAAACTGCTTGTTTTGAACAGCTGCATGGACCTTCGCATATTTTTATGCACACTTGTGTCACTTCTATTATGTAATTTTTAATCCGGTCAATCTATTTCGACACACTTTGCCATGTCCATTCGAAGTTGTGACCTTTCACCATATACCTGCTGAGACTTATTTATTTTGTGAGCCGTGCCTGTACACATTTTAGTTATCCAGCGCGCAACATTTTTTTACTAATTATAACAACCCATCACTTTTGGTTCTTTTCACACTTTATCATGTACCTTGCATAAATTTCCGTACTGTTAGCAATTTCATTTTTTATTCAACTTTCATGTTTTCGGGCATTTATTCGGCCCAAGCTTTTGTAGTAATCTTATGCCAATTCCGAAATCTGAACTTCTTCCCTTACCTTGTTCTTTCTAATACGTTGATGAATTTGTTGTTTTTAGTGTCGATTAGTAATTGCTGTCTAAGTAGAGCATTGGTCTAAGATGCAACTTACAGATAATTAGTCACTTTTCCTTCTTCCTTTGTGCCGATGAGCACTCACTACGTAATTTACAACTTTTATTTCTACTTTTGAAGCCACTTCTGAGTAATTATATCAATTACGTCACCCTCTATTACTCAGTAATGGACTACTATACATTTTTTTGGTAAATATAAATACGAGTGTACAGTACAGCCTGTGAAGATGATTTCGTCGATAAAGAAAATTTTCTTCACTGAATTGTCTTTATTTTCTTCCTGACTCAATGGGTATTTTCGGTGATCTTAAGCGTCACTCAATGTGTCTGGTTTAATTAATCGATCAGATTATCGCTACGGATTTTCGAAAATAAGTCTACAGGTATGTTTAAATGTAAAACCATTGTATTAATTCATGAGGAAAAAAACATTGCATATAATTACAGTTGCACATCTGTAATAAGTAGGTGATGCCGCAGAAAAGACTCTCTCTGCTTTCCATCTGGAAATAACTGAAAACTTTTGACTAAGTAGTAAGGTTTTATATATATATATATATAATGAAAGTTGAGAACAAATAAAGTAAAAAAACAAACAAAATTTACCCGAGAAGAGGTCTTTTTTAATCCAACTGAAACAAGTAATAACTATCAATGAAATGCGATGACTTGAGTAAACACCTATAGGTAAGCTAAGGGAACAAAGACACTTGAGGTTGTTTTTAAAAAAAAACTGAAATATCTCCTAAAGGCATACACACATCACATTATAATAATAATAATTGCCTAATTTCCTTTGGAAGAGAAGTCAACGTTTTGGAAGATCATACAGACAGTTAAAGATCCTTGATATACTACTAATACTTCCAGACAAATAAAAAGGGTAGAAACATGAACATTGTACATACAAAAAGAAAGTGAAATAGATGAAACTGCAGGCATTTATCACATAGAAGTACAATCAAGAATAATAATAATAAATGATGAAATATATAGTAGATATTGATTAGAAAATAGGCAAAGCGAAATTACACCTGAAAGCAATATAATAGTAGTAATAATAATAATATACAAGTTGAGTGATCCCATGAGAGAGAGGGGGTAAAATGTGAAAATACCATAAAGTTAAAATGTACAAATAATGAAGAAAGAGAAAAAAACACCCTATAAAAACGAAACAAAGTATAACAATCCATTCTGTTATATAACATCGAAATCGTATAAGATTACAGTTTTATCATAAGATCCAGAGATTATCACAGAACCAGATATCACAGCACAAGTTACACCATCTTCATGTTCTTGTAAGCTATTGACAAATTTATTATCGCCTACTTGCCAAACCTGTTTAAGTAGTATAAAACAGAATAAGAAAAAGAATTGCACTGAGTGATATGATGCAAAAAAAGAGTAGTTTCTTTAAAAAAAATGAGAACAGATACTAATAATAGGACTTACGTGGTTTTAAAAAGTCAGTACATTCGAGATAGAAAGAATTAAATAGGTGAAAAAAATAGCTGTCGCAAGGTGTTTTCGCGCACAGATTAGCAAGCCCCGCCAACTGTACGAAACAGCTGGTAAAACATCTGATATCATTACAGCATTCCACTAAACATGTAATAAAAATTCATGAGTCAAAAGCCGTGACCAATAGGGTACAGCAGGTTGAAAGTGAGGCATTAACTCATCGAAGAAGACTTGCCATAAATTGGCAGAATTTAGAATTCATGAGCTAGCCAATTGGATCTGGTCCCAGTGGCTTAATGGTCTACGAGCTCACCAGGCTCGTAACCGGAAGGTCGTGGGTTCGAACCCCACCGGTCGGTGGGTGCGTACTGCTGGGGAGTCGCAAATTAGGACAAAACAGTTGTCCAGTACTCCCCACAGGTTTTCCAGTTGTTCGCTAACTGATGTCAGCTCATGATGAAATGTTACAACCAATCACACAAAATCCCTACAAGATCAATACTCCTTGTGCAAAATTTTCAAATAATATAATAAACTATAATAAATCAACTGAAGTAATATTGTTCCACTCGAAGCTTGCTTCAGTACTACTGTGGTAAGAGCTGTCTGTAAGCCAGAATTGTAGACAACAATCTACGTTAGTGGTTGCGTCCCGAATCGGGGTCATGAGAAAAACAATAACAAAGCTTAACCTTGAGGAACTCAACAAACAATCACAGCAGACTTAATATGTGCAAATATGATTCGCAGATGTATGGCTTAACTTTCTGAGGAACGGTCGCTTGCAGTACAGAATAACCTTCAGCAAGAAAACAACCAATCAGAAGACGTTGCTTCTCTGCTAACAATAACGCTAATGATAATATACATAAAAATCTATAAATATCTGTTGATTTTGTCGATAAATGATCTGTTGCATGGCCCTTGTCTTCTGTCGTTAAACTACTATTTCACAACGTTTTTCCTTCGTTTCCTTCCAGAAATTCTTAACGGTAGGTGGAAATTTATTTGAAATAGTGCGCCAGAATGAAATGTGACTCACTGCAGTAATTAGATCATTAAAACAATATGAAACAGAGTAAATACGATGAATTTTGACAGACAGAGAATTTAGGTAGCCTAGTGGTTTAAGCAGGGCGCCAATTTTTTTGGATGATATTTAAGTGTGCGCTTAACATAATCATACAAAAAATAACAGAATGATAATCGGTAAAACTTAGATGAATACATTCCAGATAACTCATATATCTACTAATAGAAATGATGATTGAATAATAATCTAACAAACTTTTCTGTTAAATCAAGGCAAAAAAATGATACATCCACTTTAGAGACTGATTGAATGGAAGGCTAATGTAGCGGGAAGACAAAGTCAACGATACAGAAACTTCAAAACTCAAAACTTGAAGCCCTACTCGAAGGAATGAGAAGAAATGCATATATATACATATATATTAAAATTTTAAGGAATACACGGATATATTTTATAAAACTAATCCAGTTGATCGTAATAATGAAGAATAATTGAAAGATGGTGTTGTTAAAGAAGTTGTGGAGTACTGTGCCTTGTCCCTACTACATTGGAATCTATTTAGGAATGATACAGACTAAAGCTATAGGTGAATAAACTTACTTATTCTATGATTAAAATTCATACACTTAATTTACAATTCACATCAAAAGGTGAAAAAACTAGTGACTTAAAAAGGGCCATACAAAAGAAATTATTATTACTTCTCTTTTTGATTGATGAAGTCTCAAAAATTAATTACTTTTACGAACATAGATAGTTTAAGTTCTCAATAAAACCTATAGGGGGAACTCTTACGTAATGTTAATAGGAAAAAGAACAATCACAAAGATGATTAATGAGAATATATTTGAGCAAAATAAAGGAAATACACAGACGATATACTACTACTCGAAAATGCAAATAAGTAGAACTTTTAAACAATTTGTTACATCGAAAATCAACATAGTAGTAGTAGAGACAATCGTTGACGCCAAACAGCAATCAGTGGGGAAAAAATATAACTTTTCGAGAAATCCCCAAACAGCTTATAACAAAATCCTATTCATCAAATAGGAAACTATATTTCATGGAGTACTATTAATAATTGTAGAGAACAACATTGATGACCAGTGGAAATTTTGATTCCGAAAATTGTTCAAATACTAATTCAATATTAGAACTTCGAAAATGAAATTGCTTCATGCAAACAATGTCTATATTGTATATTCACTATAAGTTGTCATCTAGTTTCTGACCGTTTATTCAATACCTATTCTTTTTCTTCAACCTACGTCATTTCTGATGTAGATGTGATACCCAATTATCCATCAAAGGCTCAGCACGAATACAGAGTGCTAGGTTCGCATATGCCAGTTTACAGAGTCTCTGGCGTAGACGTGATATCCGACTATCGACCAAAGGGCGTGTGTACTGCTCAACAGTCCGCCCCGTCCTCCTTTATGGCTGTGAGACCTGGCCATTGAGAGCGGAAGACATGAAAAGATTAGCTGTGTTCGATCATAGGTGTCTGCGTTCTATCTCCCATGTGAAGTGGTATGATAAGGTGAGCAATATTGAGGTTAGGCGTCCAGTTCTAGGTAAGGCGGGGAAATCAGTCAACGAGACTGTGAAATTGCATCGACTGAGATGGTTAGGACATGCGTTACGTATGCCTAGTCATCGCCTTCCTCGACAATGGGCAATGTTAGCTGATATAGGGCCAGGCTGGGAAAGAGCTAGCGGCGGTCAAACGAAAACATGGCACCAGTCAATGAAATCCACAACAGTTAGTCTAAGCCACGTAGGAAGATGTAGACTTCCTGGTTGGGGTCCTCGGGACGGTAAAAACCAATGGTTGGAAACAATTGGTGACATGGCTCAAAATCGTTCTCAGTGGCTGGTGCAGATGCATCCACTCCTTGTGACTTATGATTTCCAATTAAACTGTTTTGTTCTCCGTTATTACTATTCCTTTGTCTCCCACCTCTGTTTACTGTCTATATTATGCATTTCTTCTATTTTCTTCTCTTGCTTTGTGTGCTACATGGAGTGTGGCGACTTGAACTGCCGCATATTTGTGCAAAGTTCTATGTTGAAAATCGACCGACCGACCGATCCATCAAAGGACGCGTGTAGTACGGAGCAGTTTGCTGTGAGCTTGTTTATAGCCGTGAGACATGGCCGTTGGAAGTAGAAGATATGAAAAGACTAGCTGTCTTTGACCAAAGATGTTCGCGTTCTATTTCCTGTGTTAAGTGGTATGATACGGTCAAGCAAATTGAAGTTAGGCGTGGAATACTAGGTAAGGAAGAGAAGGTTGTGAAACTGCGTCGACTGGGATGGCTAGGGAGCACGTTATGTAAGCCCAGCCATTCCCCTTTTTGAACAGCAAAGTTACTTGACAGGATTCGGTTGGTAAAAAGTTATAGACGGTTGTATCAAACCTGGTGTCGCTGCCTGCCAACAAATGGAAAGTGTATGCCCTACAGTTTTTGATGGAGACATATAGATCTTCTGGCATGACTCTGAGGCTTTTGCGCAGTTGAGTGGCATTCAAGATCCGTCAGCGATTAGGTTGTTACTTGGAATGCTGCTGGGAGGTCGGACGACGGCAGTATATGATAGTATGAAGCGAAACACCGGCGAATACGGGCCAGGATCACGCAAACTGCTCCCAAAATGGGAGACGGGGCCACGTATTTACGATCAGAAATGCAAATAAAGAGGAGCAAGTGAACGTCAGCAAGCTCCGGAACTCGATACAGCACGACAAGATAACAAAGCCGCCAGCGCCAAGAAGACCCAACCGACTTTGGTCGAAAGTTTTTGACGGGGGACGAATGTGGTGGTATGATACAGACAATATGTACCAACGGAATGTCATTCTCACATGTCTCCACGGTTCAATTCGGCATCAGCAACAGAATACGATACTTTGGCTTCCGTCTCTTGCCTTCTGTTGTTACACCATTAGGTGGATTTATGCAAAACGGCTAATGAAACTAAGGAACAATTTCCCAATATACTTTTATGTAGTAAAAATACCAAAAGGAAAGCCATTAAACTTGATTAAAGGAATTAAATAAAGTGATTGAGAATGTCCATAAAAGTTTTAAAAAATACTGAATAATGAACAACAATGATTCTTTTCGATAATCTTTTCTTTATCAGCTTCCACAGTTATATGACTATAACAATTGAAGGAGAATTAATGTTATTAACAACATTCATGTTTTAAATTAGATTGAATCAATAGTACCAATAGATGACTACATTTCGAAAGCATCAGTAAGAGAGAGATAATAGGCACAATTATAACACTAAACTGACTGAATATCAGATATATTAAGGGAAGTCAAATAGAATTTATGCATTCATCAGTTCGATAGCACACCATGGCAGCAATAATGGCAGGACCTGTCTTTTCATTTACACACAGAGCCCCAGTTTATTTAGGCAAATTGCAACGGCCTCTTCTATTTGGAGTGTTCGATATCTAGAGGCCTTTGGTAATTTATTCGATAGAGAAAGACTCTTCAATGCTGCTAGCTTTGTGGCCTATTTGGACGTAGTGTTCTAATATAGAACTCTCGACAGTTTTAAGAACAACACTGGTTGAAAGTATTCCCGAGTACGAAAAACTAAGTTCCTAGAGCAAGGACCAATATAACTGGCTCCATGAAGAGCTTGATGATGAATTTATCGAAAAGACTATTCTTTTAAATAAAAATTAGTTAAAAAATGAATTCAAATCACACAAAAAAGACAACTAGGGAATATAAAGCCAACACATTTATCAACAAGCCTCACATCCTTGATTCTTTTCTAAAAACCTACAGTGCATACTCCTTATGCGTCGGTGATTCAGTGGCAGAACCCTCGGCAACCACGCAAGTGTCTCGGGGATCGATTCCCGACCGACGCACTTCTAAACCTCTCTAATCCGGTTGTAAGGCCGGTAAAGAGGGAAGGTCGGGATTGAGGCTAGCAACCCCATCCTGTAAAAATAAAACACAACCAACGGCTACCGAAACTTCAAAGCTCTAGCTTGAAGCCCTATGTTCCACTCGGAACGTAAAGGAATAAAATAAACAAATAATAATACATACTCCTCAGTAATATTAAGCAAGAAGAAAATGATATTATAATGTATGTTATAAAAATGTAAAGTAAATAAACACAAGGTGAAACTGTCTCTTTCTACTCACCTTAATTGATTTGTCGTCAGAACCGCATATAATATGCCATGCATCACCAGTTAAACAACGAATCAGTGTACCTGATTTATAATCATTTGTATACAAATATTCATCTAAATAGATAGTATCTGATGAAAGTGACCATTGTCTTATACTATGACTTTGATCACCATTACTACTAGAAGTAGTAGTATTGTTGTTGGTGTTGTTGTTGTCATGCTGATAAGGTTTCATCAATTCAACAAGTACTGATAAATATTTAGTTAATACTACACCATCATGATAGGCTACAACAAGCCTATTCTGTGCATAATCCAAGTGTAAGCATGAAACAGACGAAGAGATGGATACTTCGGGTAGATTACTTGAAAAGATTGGTCGAGCTAGTGTATAATAACATACACCAGTAGATATATTCCATATCTAATGAAATTAAATGAAGAGAACAGTAAATATCGAAATTATTATTTATACAAATATGCTTTTTAAAATAACAAAACAAAGTACGAAGCACAAGGGTACACTAATCAGAATCTCTACATACTTTGATTAGACACCAGGTAGTGACTGGCTTAGTCCTTTCATTTGGTGCAAACTGAATTCTATTAGTCAGGTTTGTAATTTGGCAAACCAGGTTAGGTGGTTCCCCGTCATCGTGCACTCTGAATTGTTATTATTGAATGGTTAGAGGCAATCGATAGCCATTTGGGCTTGAACAGTTCAGTGGTAACTTCTCTCACTGCACTACTAGGTGACACAGGTTTGATGTGCAGTCCTTCAAGAATGCAGATTCATTTTGCCGACGAGTGCCAACAAGCACAAAATCTAGGTGAAAGGCTTCCTGGAGATCCCCTTCGATCACGCAGCGTTATTCTAAGAGGTACATTTTTTAATAACTCAGTTCCCGAAACAGGTTTCTAATGTTCCAGGCCATGAGGCACTGTGTATGAGGGTTGGTGATACTATCGAGTCGCCCAGGTTGAAGTAAGTCTAATAAGATTCAAGCCCTTAACCCACTGATTGAAATTCGAATGCCTAAGCCAGTGAGCCATACGCTCCACCTAAAAAGTACACCATGATGACAAGTCATCTAGATTGCAGAATACATTGCAAATCAACTGATGGAATTCGGTCGTCATCACAACCAACACTCCTCCCTGGTGACCAATCAATAAACAATGACAATTTTATTTTTTTTCTTACTACACCGCTGAATCAAGACACTTGGATTATCGAACAGACAGATAACAATCAAGAAGTGATTGAAAAATCAGACGATTAACATTTTACGAGGAAACATTTAAGCAGCTGTATTCCTTTCTCATCATGAACAATTCGACTTAAAGGCTGTTCTGCACCACTGGTACAGGGGAAGTAACATACAGTACATAACTACAGCTTTTCAAACAAAACAGGGACTAAGCAAATTCGTAGTATATTATCGTATTCGGACAATCGGAGTAGAAGGTTAGAAAAGTAATCAGATATATTGTTTTGTTTAGTCGACGTTACCATCACAGTCTTATTATTATTATATTATTCCCCTGGGTTCCGAATGGAACATGGGGCTTCAGTAGCACCTCTCCGCTTCGTCCTGTTCTCTGCACTCCTCTTTAGGTGGCCCCACGCCTGCCTATAAGCTTTCATCTTCTCCTCACACTGTCTCCTCCATGTCATCTTCCCACCCACGTCCAACTCATCGGTTCCTATTCTAGTTCCAGTCGAGAAATGGCCTGGAGTGCGATATCTCCCGACGGACTCCTCGGCGTGTATTCAATTCATCTCCATTTCCTTCTACACATTTGTTGAACAACAGGTTTTTGACTAGTTCGTTCCCAGAGTTTCTTGTTACTAATTCCTTCTGACTGGTTATATAATCTTCAGTATGGAGCTGGCGAAGGTGGGCAGCTGTCGATAAAAGTGTGAAGTGGCCTTTTGGAAATGCCTTTCGTGACGCCCCAAGTTTATGACCCACTACAGTCTTAGGTATATGATTACATTGATTAGTCATCCATATTAGTAATTTCAGCTCACTGAGCAAGTTTCTAGTTTTATGAACTATAACCTTTCTGAGTTGCTACGTAAACCTACATACTGAGTGCTTATTAGATAATTCTGTTTTCTGTCTTCTCCAACCCCCTCTACTTTCCTGTTTTGAAAGCATAGAAATTGATGGTATCTTAAACCAAAAATTGTAGTGCTTATACTTCGGATGCATTGATTTTATAATGTTTTCTTTACTACTATTCATACATTGTAGTATGTTATTGTGACTCTTCCATAATCATTGTAATTTCGGGTACATGCAGCTGATGAGAACCTGTGAGATAGAATATTATTTTATACTGCAAATCTGGTCCTTCTTTCTTTATTGAAACTTATCAAGGGAACCAAGTGTAGGAAGATAAAATAAGTGAGTCGCTGTATCTGGAAGTGCCTTTTTTAAAACATAGTATGAGAAATTGAAGGTATTTTGGCACATACACAACTTTGTAACTCATTCATTACCACCGTCTCCCAAGGTATGTTCACAACTCTTTATCTGCCTTTTCAGCATGAACAATTCGCCTTAAAGGCTTTCCCACACCACTGATACAGGGAAAGTGACATACAGTACAATAACCACAGCTTTTCGGATAAAACAGGGACTGAACAACTTCATAGTATACTGTCGTATTCGGACAATCGGAGAAGGTCAGAAAAGTAATATGAAGTAGATTATTTTGTTTCTAGTCAACGTTATCACCACAGTCTTAGGCATATGAAGATGAAATAAGTGAACTGCTGTTTCTTGAAGTGCATTTTATTTTGTTCAAACACAGTCTGAGAAATTGAGGGCGTATTATTCATTCCTCGCCACTACAACCATTTCCGAAACATATTCACAACTTTTTAATCTGTCTAGACACAGATTCCGCCCCCCCCCCACACAACATAAACAGATACACTGACAGTAATACTTCAGTACGGAAATGCTATTAATAATACAACCACTTTTACATATGTAATCGTATGGAACAAAGTCTATCTTCGATATGTAAAGTTAAATGTAAAATAAGTTTGTGTTGAGAGAAACTTTTTTCAGTAGTGTGTTAGGTAATACAGAAAGGCAAGCTGATGAAATGATAAACGTCTATTGATTAATTTGGTCAAGAAGTATATTCTATTTCTGTTTAATTTAAAGCACAGATTTAGTTGATACAAAGTTAGATCTAATCTATAATGTGCACTTGTAACGGCTAAGGATGACATAATTTGGTAACGGTATTATTTACTTGCAACTTGATATGGACAGATATAGGCGATATATATATATATATAAACCATATTTAATCATTAGGCACCAATACCGGAAGGCATATTGTTTCAATCCGCCTATCTGTCATCACAGTTTCCCATGGAAACCAAAAATATTTCACTCACAATATGTAAGCTACTTGATACCATCAATAACAGTCAAGAAAGCAAGTACTGATGGGGTAGTCTTAAACGAGTGAAATGGCCGGCTCGAGTTGTAGACCACTTCGATCCAGGCTAGCAAACACAACTGGTTGATATGCGTGGATTACAACTACTCATATCAACCAGTCAGTAGTATATAGAGTGATTCATTTATTCTAACCAGTAAAATGGTGAGTCAGTAGCACAGCGTGAGAATGCTCGCCAACCATGCACAAGGTTCGGGGTTCGATCCCTGACCGACGCACTCCTTTACCTCGCTAAGCCAGTAATAAGACTGGTAAAGAGGGAAAGTTGGGCATGAGGCTAGCAGCAACCCCATCCCGTAAAAATAAACACCACTGCTACCGAAACTTCAAAGCTCTAGCTTGAAGCCCTATGTTCCACTGAGAACGTAAAGGAATAAAAAAACCCAGTAAAATACCTTTAATTCACCAGTTATACAAAGGCTTTCAGGTAACAGCATAAAAATTCGTTAAGTTACACTATCTTTTCATTCATTCGACATGTAACTGTGTGTATCCAATGTAAAATTCAGGAATGAATAGAAAATAACATCAAAAATGACTTATTGTGTGTAGATGTATGGCGTGATGGAGATTGATAGGAAGCGGCCGAAATCGAAATCAACATTTTAAGTTCAATGGCTGTAGACACAGAAGTATTTGTTCCTCAAATCTGGATTTAATTTACGCTGTACACATGAAATAATCTCATTGGATGACTCGTTTAACCTTGAGCCAATCGCCTACCAATCAGATCAATTCATTCAGCCCTGACTTAGCTGAACTTCACACTCTGTCTTAAAATGTATAAATATGACGTGTTTTTCGCTTAATCACGTCTGTTATCTTCTGTATCCGATGTAATTCGAATTATTTTTTTTTAAAGTGCTAATATACACATATCTGTTAAGAAGTCTGCCTAGTAAATTAGCAGCAAAAGACTGACAACACACACACGCACACATACAAATACTCCAATTATTTGATTTGTTAAGCATATAAATTCGACCATAGATAAGTATTAAAACAAACGAAGTGTGAAGTAGTAAAATACTTCTTCAATTCCCAATAGGATAACTTTTATAATTAATTTAACAGATTCATGTATTCAGTGAAATAAAAGAAAAAAACTACAAGACAGTGGTTTCATAAGTTGAAATTATGAAGATATTTACAGTATGTGTAGAATATGATAAATCTTCCAAATGAATATAGGCTTACATTTGAAAAAAACCCACTAAATACATGAAAGGGCTAAAGTATAAGCTATAATGTCCCAAAAAGTGCGAACGCACCAATGACCTTGAATGCATACCATTCGTTGGATCACAGAGCCTGCCTGCTATTATTACAGCGCCACTATGAATGCTGCTCACAAACTGAGGTAGAAATTTCATCCTGGTTCTGTTTTTAAGTACTGTTTGGATAATGGGACTGACAGCACGTCAGGATTAGGGTGTTTTTTTAATTAGTATTATCATTGTCTGTATTTTCCTAGTGAGTAAACGGCACTTTTACGTCAAAAACAAAACCCCACCGGTTTATATCATTGGTCATCTCAAGTCCATTGGTGCATTCGTACTCCGTGAAAGACTCATACATACATACATACACACATATGCGCGCGAGTGTGTATCCCCAAAATAAGACAATATCTAATTCTTTAGTCCAAAAGTTGCAAGAAAAACTATGGAGTGAAAGAGTTTATGCAACTGTAACATTCCCTCTTATGAGAAACTCTGGGAACAAACCAACTAAGAACCCACTGCTCAACAAATATTCCGAAGAAAATGGAGATGGATCGGATCCGCGTTGAGGAAACCGTAGAGTGACATCGTGCGACAAGCCATCGCTCGAGTGAAACCCGAGTGGGAAACGACGAGTTGGGCATAGGTCCTTGGATGAAATGAAGGAGATCATATGAGGAGGAGATGAGAGGCTATGGGAAATCGTTGAGCCAGCTGAAGAGCACTGCTGAGAACAAGACAAAATGGAGTCGTGCTATTCCACTCGGAACCCAAGGGAACAACAATAATATATTCACACCGAATCATTAAAACAACTAAGACCTAATGGTTCTTACATACAGAATTTATTCTAAATGACAGTGAATGAGAATCTGAATTATGAAATTTATTATATACTACTGATTTGTTGAGACAAGTAGTTGTATACCACTCAAAACAACCAGTAGTGCTTACTAGCCAGACAGAATATCGAAGTAATCTTAACACCGGACGGCCGTTTTATCCGTTTTTGGTCGACTCAGTTCAGATAACAACCGAATCAGTTCAAGCTATCCATATTAAATAATCAGGAGTATACAGCGCCATGCATTATTACTTGCTTTCTTGATAACCATTTATGGTGTCAAGCAGTTTACATATTGTGATTTGAATAATTTCGGTTTCCAAAAGAAACTGCGGTAAAAGATGACCTCAAACTGTGCAAATCCCATACTGCGAATTCAATTCATTAAATTTGCTGTCTACCGTAGTCCGTTGTAATAAAGCTTTAATATAAAACTAGAAAGTATGTTGAAATCAAAATTAAAATTACCATACACATAACAGTGAAACTGAAGTCTTTTCAGTCATTTATTCTGACATATTACTGTACTTATCAAACTGGAAATAATTTACGTGGAATAGGATAATCAAGTGATTGGTTTGCAGGGATTTGATTGGTTACAAGATTGATCATTAGCTGACATTAGCTAGAGAACCATTAGAAAACCCTGGGAGTACTGAACACCTACTTCGTCCTAGTTTGGGACTCCTCATCAGTACACACACACACACCAGAGTTCGAACCAAGGACCTCCCGTTTACAAGGCGAGTTCGTAGACCATTTTGGCCACTGGGACCCGATCCAATGGTAATTCATATATATATATATATATATATAGAGAGAGAGAGAGAGAGAGCAGCTGTCAGTAGCTGAATGATGTGTGAGCTTGACGTGCAACCGGAAGGTCCTGGGTTCAAGCCCCAGTGCGTGCGGGCCGCTAAAAAGTCCAAAACTAAGACGAAACAGTTATTCAGTACTCCCAGGGTTTCCAATGGTGGTTGTCTAACTGATATAAATAAGCAGGTGACTAATCCTAAAATAGGATTAATAATTAGCTTTTCTCATCATCTACTTCAAACAGCAACTAAGGATGCAGTGAAAAAGCTTTTTTTCTAAAAAATGGCCGTTTGACGAGACTTTCTTTATTCAGTAATAAATCAGATAACTATATGAACATCTCAATATAATTGAATACACTAACTACTTCATTGTCCTGGAAGCCGTTTGCTCCTAATCAAAAGGGTTGTCGTAAGTGAAATCTAATCACTGATGCAAAAAAATTTACTCGTTTATCACCACCTAGTGAAATGAACTGTCTTGCACTAACCATAAATCTCCTGTTCCCCATGAAAAGAGAAAAACATACTAAGCACCAGTCATTCTCTCCTACGTTATAGCCACGAACGATAAACAATGAAGATGGTAGATACATTTTAATGGCTACAGATTTCTGACCATATACGCCGTTTTATCAATATTCATGAGTTATAAGGCGAGTTGTATTAGAGATGAATGTGAATCGTTGGGTAAAGAAAACAAACTACTCGATGGAATCGGAGATCTGTACTAACTAAGGTGGCTGGAGATATGTTCCCATATAACATCATCACATCATCCTTGAAAAGCAATGTTAGCTGTTAATTAGACTTTTATTCCATTGCCTAAATGAAGTACGCTTTGTAGTGTGTTATCAAGCATTCTTTGTATTCCTCAGTAAATGATGGAGGTGAAGGCGAGTGATGGTCATGAAAACTTTGTCTGGTTACACAAAAGTGTGTGGGAGGTTATTACATCCCATCCACATACACCATAAAAGTGGACTTTTTTGGGGGTGTCTGAAGCAGACGGATTATTAGTGTTGCGTGACCGAAGAACCCAGAAAACAAACACGGCCTGTTTGAAGTGGTTTGTATTAAGATGCCAACGCTGTCTACCAACCGTCGTAAGATACGTCTGGATGTTCATTTCTCGGGGTAGAGACTTTCTAATCCCCCTCTCTACAGAGCGGAGAGGCAGCATACTGGCTTTCTGGTCATCCAAAGGAAACACCTTAATGCTGCTGTACCCAAAGACCGCCACCCCCCCCCAACATAGTGTAAGCAACTTACATTGCTAGCAGTCTGACGGTTATCCAAACAACCTTTCCGGAACGGTAGGAACTGCAGGAGAACATTAGTTACCTGTCAAGGTAACTCGCTGGGTCATTGCTATATACAAGCCCAACCACCCCTTCAAGGTAGCAACAATCAGTAGGGAGTCTTCACTAAAGATATACGAATAGAATTCCATTCACTTAATAACAAAACAGTAGAAGTATGAAGCACAGCACAAAAAAAACAGAAACCTACTCGAACTGTATTATCCAAAGAACCAGAATAAAGAAGATTATCACTGTACACTAGACAAGTTATACCGGCTGAATGACCACTGTAAATAAATACAGACAACAAAAAAAAGGTTATGCGTTTATGAAAGCGATACAATCTACAATAAAATAAACAATCTCATAGACTAAATAATTCTAATTATTACTATAAACAATAATGAATCCATCAGTATAACTTCCTCTTTCAATATCATTCACACATTGGTGCATACGTTAATATAAAAAAATCACCAACAAAGGTGAATGTAAACACAGGTGCTCCTGTCTATCTTGTAAAACACAAAAATACTTCGCGGTTATTTGTTTGTTTATATAAGATCAATTACTCTAGACAGGTTTTCTATATACTAGGCTAGAAGTAATCCTTAGAGTGTTCGGGGCTGATGACACTATTTTAGGCTGAAGTAGGTGGAGCAAGAGTCAAACCTATGACCCATCGGCTAAAAATCGAGTGTTTAAGCCAATGACTTACAACTCCACTTTGTATTTAGATGATACAAAAGGGAAATTGAAACTCGTTCAATAGATAACACACACACACACACCTCAGATTTTCTTTCAGTTGTCCTAGCTTTATATTATATTTGGTCTAACATACTAAAATTAGGTTAAACAGTTTAAAATAATGGTTATTGAACAAAGAATATTCTTTTCGATAATCATTCCTTCATAAGGTTCTACAATTACATATATACATAATAATGAATGAATTAGTGTTATTAACAACATTAATGTTTTTTTCCATAGTTTGGTTTGTAAGGGTTAGTTTTGTTTTTACGAGTTTATCACGGATTGATATCAGTTAGAGAACCATTGAAAACCAGTCCTGGAGTACTGGACAGCTGTTTCCTCCTAGTTTGGGAATCATCGGCAGTACGCACCCACTGCCAGGGTTCGAACCCAGGACCTTCCGGTTACAAGGCAAGCTCGTATACCATTCAGCCACTGGGACCCGATCCAATGGCTCATGAATTCTAACTTTTACCGTGATCAACTCATAAAAACAAAACTAATCCTTACAAACCAAACTATAGAAAATTAATCTGATGCTCGCTAGTGACTTGCTACAGGACGGAGTTTCCTGGAGTTCTAGTGAGAAGTCGTGACCAGTGAGGTCCATCCAGATGTCACGTGTAGAATTCAATGGGGTCGCGCTAAATCACGAATAGGTAGAAGTTAGAATTCATGAGCCATTGAATCGGGTCTCCAGTGGCTGAATGGTATACGAGCTTGCCTTGTAACCGGAAGGTCCTGGGTTCGAACCCTCGTGGTGGGTGCGTACTGCCGATGATTCCCAAACTAGGTGATGAAACAGCTGTCCAGTACTCCCTGGTTTTCAATGGTTCTCTAACTGATATCAATCCGTGACCAACTCGTTAAAAAATTAATGTTGTGTAAATAACATCGAATCAGTAATAATAATAATAATAATAAATCAATGGATTACAGCTCAATAGCGTCAATATATCAATACACTAAATATCACAAACAAATTAAGAAAAGTAATAATACAAATTGATGAATTTATAGTCTCCACTGAAGGCCAGGGCAGTGGTAGTGGCTGGAATTAATTCTTCTGCACGCAGAGAGGAGGTTGTTTCAGGCGAATCACGAAAACCTCTGCTGTTTGAAGTATTCGGTTCCTGGATGTTTTCGTCAATTTATTTTTGGTACCCGGTAGATAATAGGGAAGGATTCTTCAATGCTGGCTTTGTTGCCGGTTTGGATCAGGTGGTCCAATATCGAACTGTTGATGGTTCTTACTATACCTTTACTTAGCCACACTGTTAGATGTTCCCGAGCACGGTTATTTTCCTAGAGTGACGGGCAATATAACTCGCTGCACCACAATAGCAGTTGAATCGGTAGACACAACTACAAGTGGCTAGTCTAGGTACTTCATCTTTCATTTGATCATTGAAGAATCCTTTCCCATCATCTAGCGGGTACCAAATAAATTGCCAAAAACATCCAGGTACCGCGTACTCCAAACAGCAGAGGCTATTGTGATTCGCCTTAGATAACAGCTGTAGTCCATTAATATTATTATTAGTGATTTGATATTATTTAAGCAGCATTAATGTTCTTAATAACACTAATTCATTCACTATTATGTATATATATAACTATAGAACCTGATTAAGGAGAGGCTATCGAAAAGAATATTCTTTGTTCATTTACCATTCTTTAAAAAAAAAATCTTATTCATGGCACTTTTAATCAATTTAACAGTTTACTTAGAAACATTTTATTCGATTACGTAATATATTGTATAATTATTGAAACATTACTCACCGGAATATTCTTTTTACCTGACCACTATGTATACTCCATAAACGTAGTGTACAATCGTATGAACCGCTAATCACTTTCTCATGGTCAGCCTTAAAAGGATAACAAAAATCAAACAAAGTATAAACACAATCGACATATATTAGACAAAATGAATTAACAATGCACATAATGAACTATTGAAACAGTCGATGATTATTGCATGTCATTAAAGTAGTAGTTAGTACTCAATTATAAAAACAAAAATACTAATAATACAAGTAAACACATTCAAGACTGTTTACATTGCTTAATAAGTATACATCTCCAATTAACTCTGAGTAAAATAGATATATGGAATCCTTATAGGACACAAAGAGCACAAATTTATTCAGCCACTGGTTTGACATCCACTCTCTTTCTCACACATCTCAGAAGTGATATGAGTTCCTTCAAAATTACAGATACGCCTAGCTGACGAGTGATAACAAGGAAGAAACCTAAGACCAAGACTTCCTGTTAACTGCTTCCAATCATTAAATAACAACAACAACTCATAATGGACCGTGATGGCAACCCACCTCACTTAGTGGCCACATAACAAACCAAATGAAAAATTAATTACTACCAACGGTCCAATCAAAAATATCCAATACAATCAGTTCTACAGGAGGTGAATCGCGAGCCGAAATAGCTCAGTGGTGACTTCTATGACTGCACTACTGGGTGACCCGGAATCAAATCTCAGAAGTGACATGATTTCCTTCAGGATTGAAGATGCGCTTAGATGACGAGTACCTAAAAAGGCACGGAACCTAGATCCAGGGGATATCTGGCGATTGTTTATAACCATCTAACATTATTTCTCTTCATTTCCCAAAAGTTAAGCCAGAATTATACAATGCCACGAATATCTAGGCAACGTTGCCCACCTAATTCAGAATTATTCACTAAAATGACTCTTCTAATACTTCATATGTCTAGTGCACTTAATAAATTTAAATCAAATAGTTAAGAATCTATTGAATAAGTTGAAATCAATACTCATGTTTAATTATATTGTGAAAGCAAAGGATAAAAATGAATTACCCTTATTATAATTATTATATTAATTGTATACGAGAATACATATATATACAGAAAGCAACACATAAAAGAAGTAAGGGAAACTGAAAGCAAATCCACTAAATTGAAATCAATAAGCGCAGGTACACATAGAAAAGACTATTCATCCGCTGAGACGACATGATGACATAATTTCTAGTAAAAACAGTCTACTTATAATTTATGTCTATTAAAAACAAAGGATAATAAAGTGTAAAACATAAGCACCTATAACTACCCTAGATTGTGTAATCCAGTAATAAATAAACATGGTCTTAAGATTTGATTTACCGCATTAATTAAACCATTAGACTGCATGTTATCGCATACGGTGTGTCTCCAAAGTTAACGTTAGTCAGTCTCAATATCTCTGTAATACTAAAGTTTATAATATATCTAGGAAGTGCTTGACACCTGGACTTTGTCTTAAGTTTAGATTTTACAATTCTCCCATTGATAACAGATACCTTGAAGTGGTGGTTTCGAAATCATCGCCAAAGAGCTACAGTGACCAGAACTAATGTTCCTGCAGGTCCTACCATGCTAGAAAGGTTGTTCGCACAGCAATTAAACTAAAAGCAGTTACCCTCATTGTGTACAGTTGTTGACACTATGTTGGGGGTCTGTAGGCGAAGTTGTACTGCTGCGGAATAGGTAGGTATGCAACATCAGTAGGGTGTTTTCTTCGGATGACTAACTGCAGAACAGTAGTGACAGTAGTAGGGAAGCAAGCTGATGAGAGTGACAGGGATAAAGGAGGATGATGACTAAGAGGACTTCGTGTATGTGGATGACTGTTGCTTCCCTGCTCCACACCATGAAAGTTGATTGATTCTTCAGCTACCTGAAATAGAGAATTAGTGTTGCGTGACCGTAGAGCCCAGGAGACAACTGCTCAAGGCACACAAATTTTGTATAACCTGGTTTTTGGTTTAGTTCTGTATCAGTAACTTACCGTCGGCTACGGACCACCGAAGGGTAAGTCGGGATGTATAATTTTTTGGGTAGACCTTTTTTAACCCCCTCTCTCCAGAGTGGAGAGACCACAAGCTGGTCATCTGAGGGAAACACCTTACTGCTGTTACATCCCTGTTCCCCAGAAGTACGACTTCGCCCACAGACCCCCAGCATAGTGTAAAAAAATCTTACACTATGCCGGTAACTGCTTTCAGTCTAATCGCTATCCTAATAATCTTCCTGGCATGGAAGGACCTGCAGAGACCTATCTTAGTTCCATCCAGTGTAGCTAGTTAGTTCATTGCGATATGCAAGCCCGACCACCACGTTAAGGTAGCAGCTATCGGTCCAGGCCTTCGGATGACCCGCAAGCCAGCTATGCTGCTTCTCCACTCTATAGGGAGGGGGTTAGAAAATATCAACCCCAAAAATTGTACATCCCGACTTAGCCTGAAGCAGACCGTAGATAACGGTAGGATTTTAATATGAACAGAACTCCAAAAACTACTTCAAAACAGGCCATGTGTGCCTGGCCTCAAGCAGTTGTCCACTGTCCCCTGTGGTCATGCAACACTAACGCTCGTTCTGTTTCAAGTATCCTAAGATAAAATTATCTTACCTGAAAGGTAAGTAGTGAAATCACGATTATTGCTTGGGAATGCAGCGCAGAACCGCCACAGATACAGTTTTCTGACACTACAGGCATGCATATTTATTTATATATAAAATTTAATCGGCTAGTATTCAGATAATTAAGAAGATAGCATTAAGCGAGTAGACGCTACAGAATTAATTTATTACAAAACCATGTATATTTAGTGTTTCCAGAGTTGTATCTTTAGAGCATAATTAACTGTTTGTTTTCTTACATATTTATATTTTCCAAAATACTCTGTAGTTTTTCGTCGCTTATTATTACAATAATAATTATTATTACAGTAATTTCTAGTCCGACATAATTCATTCCTTAATGCCCATTATCAACTAAATTAGTGTCCAAAAACTCGCACGGTATAAATAGTCATAATAAATTATGGCGGCAGACTTTCAGAATTAGCATTTGCCTATTGATGATTTAACAATGTATTCCATATAACATGTAGGACGGGAATGAACAGATTCCTTTTGATCAAACAGATTTGGCTTGTTCAGCTGAATTCCGATTACCTCTGGTGTATGTGAAAGTTACACTGGTAGCGTGGTGAGTGCTACTTATAATCAGATATAAGTAGTATATCAGTAAACGAATTCAGAAAAGTAATAATACGTTTTGGGCACTGCAAAAAGGCAATCGAAGAAAGAACCATGAGATAAACGTTACAACACTGTGCAGAACCCAACAAGCTATCGAATATGCTGATATTCGACCAATTTGCAAATAATAAATAAAAGATAATCGGCAGTACGCACCCACCACCAGGGTGCGAATCCAGGACTTTCCGGTTACAAGGCAAGCCACTATACCATTCAGCCACTGGGACCCACCTGATTCAATGGCCAGTCCATGAATTCTAGCTTCTACCAATTCGTGATTTAGCGCGACCTCAACCAATGTCGTCGGTGGGACATCCATCCTCACACGTGACATTGGATGGACCTCACTGGTCACGACTTCTCACTAGAACTCCAGGAAACTCCGTCCTTTAGGCAGTCACTAGCGAGCATCAGATTAATTTTCTATAGTTGGTTTGTAAGGATTAGTTTTGTTTTTACGAAGCCCAGCGGGTGCGTACTGCCGATGAGTCCCAAACTAGGATGAAACAGCTGTCCAGTACTCCAGGACTGGTTTTCAGTGGTTCGCTAACTAATATCAATCCGTGATCAACTCGTAAAAAAACTAATCCTTACAAACCAACTATAAAAAACTTAAAAATAAGGTATACCAAATTTATACACCTACAATGCGTTTTTCATAATAATCATTGCCTACGGACCAATCTGATGCCCAATATCGATAAAATGAGCTAGTATTGAGCTGTGTACAGCCCTTATTCAGTCCTTTGCCTAACCTTCGCCTATTTTATGTGCGTATTTATCAGTTTAACTGCCCCTTTGGAGCTAGTTAGATTAGGCGTACGATTAGAGAAATTCATTGTCGAATTTATGAACACCTCACATCGTGGTTACACGAAGGACCAAATAAAGCTATACAAAGCTCAACACTAACTCATCTTGTCGATAAAGGACATCAGGTTGATACTAACAAGGCTTTTTAAGTTATATGTCATATTTCATCCAATGTATTCCAAAAAGCAACTTTACGAAAGGTAATTGACAATAATCACTGGGTATGTACATTTTACTGGTTGATATTCTAAAAGAGGAGGCATTTGTGGATATTTATTACTTATAATCATTTGGTTATTTGTATCAAAAAGCCTATACAGACGTAAAAAAACATATTCGATTAGCCGCTTTTTGATACCAAATATTACCTCAGGATATAACATTTTATTCTAAATGTACACCATCTAAATCACGACTAAAAATGAAATATGTGGAGTGAAAAACAGTATTTACGTAACACGTCGTGTGGAGTGCGTGTTCGATCCCCGATCGACACACTCCGAAACCTTACTTAGTTTACTGCCGGTAGTAAGCTGGGAAAAGAGAGGTTGAGTGTGGGGCTAGCGGCACCTCCACTTGAACCCCTATATTCCACTCGAAAGGCAAAAAGAATGAAAATGTATAATACTGATAAATGCTTAATATTAATAAACAGTTGCTGAGTGAGTACAGTTACCCAGAAAGATTCATTGACAAGAATATGAATCAAAAGTCAAGACAGGCCAAAGTACCAAAAGTTCCAGAAAAGGCCTTATTCTTACAACTTCACCTCCTCGGGGATAACATCAGTGAGATATTAATAAAATGCCTAAGGAATGCGGTAAAAAGAGCATTCCACGCTGCTGAATTATGCTGTGTCTTCGAAACCACCCCTATTTTACGTTCGGGAATTCAAGACAAACTACCTAATTTCGCATCTTCTATCAATTTGACTGCTCCTGTGTAGCCAGTTACATAGGCCATACAATTAGGCGTGTTTATCGTCGGTTTCCGAACACCACACTACATGGTGGTTAAGTAAGGGACAAACAAAATCCATTCATAGCTCTATTCTATCTGATCTCATCGATACAGAACACAAGATTGATGTTAACGAGGCTTTCAAAGTCATCTACTGCATACCAACTAATCTTAGTTTTACCTTCTTAAGAGTTCGTCTACTACATATTGCTGAGGCTGGCTGTTGGGATATACATTAAGAAACCTAATCTGTGTATCCAAAAGAAGTTGGTTCAGACACTGTCCTTACCTTGACCATCAAGGTTTTAATAATCCTCAATGTGTTGTGGAAATTTCCCTAATTTTATTTGATTTTCCATATGCTTTTGTATTTTTATGATTATTATAATTTATGCATCTTTCGTGAACTGTAATTTATTTAAATGATCTTAATAAATCGACAGTATTTAAAAACACCTATATATATATATATATATATATAATTGTAGAGTCAGAAGAGGAAATTATCAAAAAGAATATTTTGTCCAAATTTTCTTTTGTCTTCTAAATGTAAGACTGAAAAAGACAAACATCATATATACGAAACATAGAGAAATGCATGAGAAATACCATTGAACTTATTACACTGTCATAGTGTGTCGGTGGCACAGCGTTAGAATGCTCGCCGACCACGCATGCGGTCCGTGGTTCGATCCCCGGCCAACGCACTCCTTTAGCTCGCTAAGCCAATAATAAAAGCTGGTAAAGACAGGGAATGTTGGGCATCAGGCTAGCAACCCCATCCTGTAAAAATAAACACTGCTACAGACACTTCAAGCCTCTAGCTTGAAGCCCTATGTTCCACTGGGAGTGTGAATGAATGAAAAAAGAAAAAAACAACACTGTCAAATCGATTAAGTTTACATACTTGAACACATCGAACAGTATCAGTGTGCCCTTGTAGTGTGCATGTACATGCGATACGCGACCAGTTAGGTGTTGATGAAAGATGCCATAGTTTCAGTGTTGTATCTGCACTACCAGATATAAGAAGAACTTCTGGTGGTTCCCAACAATTAGGATAATTAACAGTTGGATCCAATTTGCAAAGTGAACATGGTATTGAAGCAATCGATTCATGAATACAATGCACAGGAGGTGAGTGATTATTTGTATTATTCACATTATTGCTATTGTTCGATAGATGATGAGGTAATGATAACAATTGTACACAGCGTACAGCATCTGAATGTCCTCGGAGTGTTTGTACAGACCATTTTGCATTTGTACGAATATTCCATACACGGATTGTAGCATCAGCTGATCCACTAACAATACGATAGGCATCACAGTCAACACAATAAACCGCTGGAAAGAAAAAAGAAAAAATATGCAAAGGAGTGAATATATTTGCACTAATATAAACGACAAATAGTGCCCAACTATTGTTCCTAATCATCTTGGGGACCCCAATTGAAGCAAACTAAAAACAATTAACTTTTCTCCAAACTAATCTGACATCGTGCGCCAGGCCCTCTAGTGGAATCCAAATGGGAAACGACAAGTGGGTCGTCCTAAGGTGACATGGAGGAGATCGTGTGAGGAGGAGATGAGAGATTACGGGCAATCGTGGGTCCAGCTAAAGAGGACAGCAGAGACATAATGCCTGTGAAAAAGTGGTGCACTTCTGCGAATTCGGGCGAAGTGCCTGGTTAACAGACATTTTCAGCACACCCTTCACAGTCAGATGCTGCCGCAACACCTCTCAACCAGTGGAATCGAATTCCACCATAAAATCAAGAAAACTGCCAAGTGTCAGTCGCTGGTATGAATTTCTGTCATCCAGTAACTTATCGAAGGCTGAAGATTTGATCAGTGCATATTTGTTTGTGTCTGAGAGCTGTATGGTTTCCTCGATTAGATTTTCTCCGTCACCGCTTAATCTGTTTATGACTAAGGACCCTAGGATGTTGAATACCATATTATTCAAGCTTATTCCCCTGTAATTATAAATTATTGGGATAACAAACGATATACACATCAGTCTGATGGGACTATTTCACATTTTCATACACTACCTGGTATCTTAATTAAGCTAGATAATAATTCATAACCCCTCATTCAACGGGCAGTGCTGATTTACAAATTTGAAGATTAGAGACAGTTTTAGCAGCCTGGGCAAACCAGTGAGGTTTAGGTTTGACAGTGAGCAACTATGGTGCAACTGTAGGTCAGTTGAACTTCACTTCGAAGTATTCCCCAAAACATTATAGCCGTACCTCGTGAGAAGTTATGAAAGTGCCATCTTTGTCGGAGGTGGTTTGACTAACCAGAGCGTATTTCGCATCTGTTACTTCTAAGTCTGAATAATTGACAAGTCGGCGGGAAGGAATGCTTAAGCATGGGTAACAAACCGTCAACTAATGAAAGTTATTACATCAACAGACTTCAAAATGCTACAGTATGTGCTATAAACCGATGATATCTATTTTGAATTTCATGTAAATCACAGTATATACATGAATTCACGGCAGTTAATTTATCCAAAACAACCATCTTAAAAGAAGTAACAAGCAATTCACTGATAGGAAACAAGAAGAGTTTGATAAGTAGCAGGCACTGCTATACTATACTGTACTGCTGTACTATATACATTGTAAATGAAGTACTACTTTGATCTCGTTCAAATTCAGAGAAGAAAAATAAAGAATACTGAATCAATAATATAAGTCTAAGGGTAAATATGCGACCGGGTCTTAAAAAGGTGTCATGGAAGTTTTTATTCATTGTTCAACAGAGTTTACGAATGATAGAACACACATCTACTAGCACTGAATAGAGTTGCTTCGAAAGTCAATAATATAAAGTTACTATGGAAACTGACAGCTGCATTCACTAATCAATCGTTTTCTTCATTTCAGTTAGAATGGACAGTCACAGTTAACACTCGGGTGTAATACATTACCCACTGGTGTTGAAATGACTATCTAAATGTGAATTCATTACAATGATACGTCGACTATTGTATCCTCAAGGAGTTGAGTCTATGTATGTTAGACCTAATTACTAAACGATTAAGGCCATAAAGTTAGTCAAGTCTCCTATTATATCCATGTATAGGCAAACAAAGTTTCTAAAGGGCAAAATCATTATTTCAAGTATGAATATTACTGAAAGCTTATGAATAAGTCTACTTTTTCCTAATCCTTTGAGTTCCCAGTGGAGTAAAGGGCTTCAAGCCTGAGCACTGAAGTTTTAGTAGCAGTGGTATTTATTTTTTACGAGTTGGGATTGCTAGCCTCACACCCAACCATCCGCCTTTACCGGGCTTACTACCGGCCAAGCGAGGTCAAGGAGTGCACGTCAGCCGAGGGTCGAACCCCGGACCACATGCATTGTTGGCAATTATTCTACCCACTGAATCACCGAGGCCTACAACAGATCATATATTTCTTCCTCTTTACTATTAAAAACCAAAAGCACTGTCAAACAACATACAGTAAAGGATGTAAAAGTCTACGAATTAATGCATACCTCCACTGTGTCCATTGAACCTGCGTATTCGATGTTTACCCAAACGAAAATTACGTCGTAGGCATACACGTTTCTTGAATACATTCAACCACTAGTTTTCAAAAAAAGTAAAACAATACGCACACACACACACACCTTGAATGTAACCAAAATAAATTTTGTAAGTTTGATAAAAAGTGAAACAAGTATGTCACTAAAGTGAAAGTATGATCATCGATTTTAACAACAAAACAACAAATTATACTTATTTAATTAAATTTTAGATTTTCCCGTCGGTTGATTGTACCGAAGTGTGTTGGAAACTATGGGCACTGGGTTCGAACCTTGGTGGGAACATCATCACTCACTGGGGAATGCAGGTACATCCAGTAGCTGACGAGTCCCAAATACGACGAAATGCGCGTTATCATGGATTCCACTGCTAGTCATCATCCACCAATTAACAAATTATGCTGTCTATAACGGAATAACTGTTTGGGAAATCAATCCTGAATGATCTATTTACGATATCCCTACCTACTTTTATTATTATTGTTCCCTTGGGTTCCTAGAGGAACATAGGGCTTCAAATGCACGCCAACACTTGCTTCTCTCTTCTGCTGTACTTTTCACCTGCATCCATGTTAGTCCATACTGTTTCAGCTCCTCTTCACACGATCTCCTCCATGTCACCATTGGACGTCACACTCGCCGCTTCCCTTTCGGGTTCCACTCGAGCTATGGCCTGACGCGCGATGTCACCCAGCGGCCTCTTCAGCGAGTGTCCAATCCATCTCCACTTTCTCCTGCATATTTTTTTGGCGACTGGTTCTTGTTTTGTTTGTTTCCATAGTTTCTACTTAAACATTCTAAATTTATAATTATGATCCTTTTCTCTCCTAAACTGTATATCATTGTTCTGATGTTTGCATATCTCATCTGTTGACTTAATCCTCATTATTTGTCTTTGTCTAATCTCCAATTTATTGTTGCTGTCTGTGGATGTGTGATGATATTGATAATGTGTTGTTGTCTTACGACTGAGATTTTGTTTGAGTGAATCATGATCATTCTGACCTTGATCCGACTTCGAGAATTGTTATGGTGTGATCCTTGTTGACAGAGTTTTGATTCCACCTTGTTTGGAAATATTCTTCCTAGATTCTCAGATACTTCTTACAGTTGATTTGGTTAAATAATTTTTATTGTACAGTACTTATCTTGTACTCGAGAATGAACTGGATCTGTAGAGTTGCCTAACAGCATTGTTGAGCTAATTTTGAGTATTCGATATAGGGTCAGGCTGGAAAAGAGCTAGTGGCGGTCAAACCAAAACATAGCACCAGCCAATGAAATCTACAACAGTTAGTTTAAGTCACATAGGAAGGTGTAGACTTCCTGACTGGTTGGGGTCCTCGGGACGGTAAAAGCCAATGGTTGGAAACAATTGGTGACATGGCTCAAAATCGTTCTCAGTGGTGCAGATGCATCCACTCCTTGTGACTTATGATTTCCAATTAAACTGTTTTGTTCTTCGTTATTACTATACCTTTTACTCACACCTCTGTTTACCATCTATATTATGCATTTCTCCTACTTTCTTCTCTTGCTTTGTGTGCTACATGGAGTGTGGCGACTTGAACTGCCGCACATATGTGCAGAGTTCTATGTCGAAAACCGACCGACTCGATATGTTATTGTTTTTAAATAGTACCTCAGATTTTATTGCGAATAACTGTCCTTTTGCCGTCGCTGGAGTATTTTGTGACTGTGAGTAATGCAAAGAAGTTTTGGTCAGCTATACAGCAGAAAGCAAATATTGGTTTCCTAAGTTTAAACCATAACAAGTTTCTTTTGGTTGTTATATTACCAGATATACAAATCAGTCAATATTAATGCAAATTAAAAACCAATCAAGAGATACATTTATATCATTCATGGAGAATTCAAATAAGTTCACTTCATCATATTGAAGTTTGCTTTGAAGATGTTGTCTAGAAGGACAATGAAAACTTCGCAATTAGACCACCAGGCAGCTCAGAAACACAGTCACATGAAGAAACCATCTATTTCAATATGAACACGTTAAGAAACAAAACAAGATTGAATGGTATATGGATTTGAGCATTGTGGTGGAAAAAAGGATAATTCGAAACATCATCCATTTATTAATACTGTATCACTGTGTGTTATAGCAAATAACCTTATCTGATATGGTAGTAAATTCTCCCTTTGCTAGTACTGCTCACTGTTAAACTAGAAATTTATATCTAAAAAGTTCACCAATATGATCATTGTCTGTGAATATGGTACGAGCCTTGCGTCATCTAAGTGCAAATTACTGTTGGAGGAGCCTGTGCCTGCACCCACTCTTGCAGATGAACCCCTTTAAGTTATTGACAACTTTGTGTATCTAGGCATTTGTGCGAGTGCTGGCAGAGGTGCGGCAGACGAGATCCCTAGCTGTATAGTGAAAGCTAGGGTAGCATGAACCAATTTGAGTAACGTCTGGCGCCGTCACGAAGTCATCCTGGCTGTCAAAGTTTGGGTTTACAATGCTTCCGTGTGCAGTCGTCTTCTGAGCCTGTGAAATATGGCCTCTCCAAGCTGAGAATTTCAGAAGACTCTGCATATTCGATCATTGTTGTCCCCGTAGAATTGCTTGCTTCCGATGGCATCATCGTGTGAGTAGTTATGAGCAGAGTGTGCTTGGATACAGCCGACATCATCATCCACTGAGTGTCGTTATCTAGAAACACCAGCTTCGGTGCCTTAGGAGATATGCTACGAATGTCATCCTAGATGCTTCCACATCGGTCTCTGTTTGCGTATTGCAAAACTTGGGAAAAATCACAAATCCAGTCACTGAAACATACATGAGTAGTACATGTCTTAACCACAGATGTTCAGCAGTTTTGTTGACTGACTAACCTGTTTTGCGCAGGTTTCAACGTCTCCTAACTTGACAATCCACATGTATTGATCCCACTAAACACATATACACACATATATAATGCTAAGAAAGCGACGGCAAGTAAGCCAACCAGTAGATTATCGGTTACATTTTTCAATTGCCTTTGGTTGATTTATAATCGGTTCATATGCAAATTAAGGCATAAGCATACAAATTCAGCTTAAAATAATTCATTTACAACCAAGTTAGTTAGTTAGTTAACTATTACACAAATGACACATTTATTATCCTTTTATGCTAACGGAATCGGAAGTTCTTATCTTCAAAATAACGAAATGCATAATTGATGTATGTGATTCCTGTCAAAGAGTCAGTCCCACACTATGCCTGAATACAGTTCAAACAACCACCTTTCTTAGTACACAAATGTAAATTTTGCACTAGTACGCTGTTACAGAACCAAACCAAACGATAAACAAACGAATAGCCAAGTTAAACTTTAAGCACCAAACGAGTCGGACCACACCAAAATGGCCATTGGAACACTCAGTCAACAAGCAAGTCAGTGAAATAAAATATGAAGTGTCAGGATACTAAACGGGATAGTGGGTAAGTTTAAGGTCAGGGTTTGGGAAAAATTAGGCTAAGGACAGGTTAGGGTAGGTTCGAGTTAGGGTTAGGGATAATTTCGCGCTAGGGTTAGAATACCTAGATAAATACGTGTATAGAATGTGGTTTAATTACTCTGTCGACATTCCAATGCAAAATTGCGAGGCATTTTTGTTAGAAGTCAGGTAAGAGTTATCCTGCGTAACAGTTTCACGCCGTTTTATTCATTATATTCATAAATATATATGCATTTTAATCGTAAAAATCGCCTTTATCGTGTGATTGGTGAGGTTAGGCGTCGAGTGCTAGGTAAAGGAAAGAAATCAATAGATGAGGCTATGAAGTTACATCGATTGAGATGGTTAGGACATGTGCTACGCATGCCTAGCCATCGCCTTCCTCGACAATGGGCAATGTTAGCTGACATAAAGTAAGGTTGGAAAAGAGCCAGTGGTGGTCAAACCAAAATATGGCTTCATCAGTCAATGAAGTCCACAACAGTCAGTCTAAGCCATATAGAAAGGTGTAGTCTTCCTGACTGGTTGGGGTCCTCGGGATAGTAAGCACCAATGGTGACTGGAGACAATTGGTGATATGGCTCAAAATCGTTCTCAATGGCTGGCGCAGATGCATCCACTCCTTGTGACTTATAATATCCAATAAAACTATATTGTTCTTCGATATTACTATTCTTTTTGCCTCATACCTCTGTTTACTGTCTCTATTTTGCATTTCTTTTTACTTTCTTCTCTTGTTTTATGCGCTGAGTGAAGTGTGGCGACTCGAACTGCTGCACATCTGAGCAAAGTTCTACGTTGAAACCATTCGGTCAGTCAGTCAGCCCTACTCTTCGCTGCTTAAAGTTTAACTTCGCCAGACTAATTAAACCTCAAAAAAAGAATGACAACTTTCAATAAACTTACATTAACATCCAAAGAATGTTTGATTTGTATATTTTCATCTTGTACACGATAATTACATCCGTTGGATAACATTAATTTATTAAATAATTGCGGTTTTTGTTGAATAGGTGATGACCATTGGGGTTGCATGCATAAATGACGATATAATTCTGGATGTCGTGCATATTTCAACCAACTTTTATTCACTTCTGAACAAATGACTAAAGATTCTTTAAAAAAAATAAAAATATAAAGCAGTGTAAATAGCTGATAGTTTTATTAAATTACAGTATGATAATGACTAACTGATATAATGCAAAGTTATTAGTTAAATTTTCACAAACAAAAGAGTCTAATTGATAGCCGTAAGTACAAGACCATAAATAAGTGTTTTTTTCGCTGTTATCTAGTTTCTTCCTTCGTTTTAGTAATTACAGAGTTGAAAAAATTGATAGGCTTAATGCGATAAATTAGGGAAAACACCACATAACACATATGAAGATACCACACACGAAGTTGCATTAATTAGCATAACTTTGCACTGTGACTTTGTATATGCGATTTTGTAAGATGAAAGATTCGGATATCACTTAGCTACACATGTTTATGTGATGTGGAAAGTGTAAAGGTATGACACTACTATAATATTATAAAAGTTTTGGTATTTCCTAATCAATGAAAAACAAAACGATATTGTTTCCACTGATGTGATGTTTCGCTATTTAATGCTCCTAATAGTTGTATCAAAATGTATTTATTATTATCTCCTTTAGTTCCTAGAGGAACATAGGGCTTCAGCCACACATCTCCATTTTGTCCGGTTCTCCGCCAACGTTTTCAGCTGGCTCCATGTCTGCCCACATGCTTTCATCTTTTTTTCACATGACCTCTTCCATGTCACCCTCACACTGACGACCAACTCGCCGCTTCCCATTCGGGTCCCACTCGAGCGATGGTTTGTTTTCTCAGAGTATGGCCAATCCACCTCCATTCACTCCTGCATATTTGTTGCACAATTGGTTCCTGCTACGTTGGTTCGCTCATCGCCAGATAAATCTGTTGCTGGCCTTTTCTGTCTGGCTATCTCATCTTGAGTGGTATTGGGCGAAGACAGCTATTGATGGTGTGTAGTTTGTTCGAAGTGACCTTCGTGACGCGCCAAGTCTTTGATGTATGTAGTAGCACTGACTTCACATTAAAGTTGAAAATCCCGATCTTATTTTTCATGTTGAGTGCTGTTAGTCTCCACAGAGACTTGAAAGTAATGAAAGCTTGCCTTGCTTTCCCGATCCTAACTTTGATATCCTCGTGAGTTCTGCCTGTAGTTGAAACGATGCTTAGTCAGGTAGGTAAAGGAGGTTGCTTCTTTCAGATTTCAGATTATTAAACTAGAATTTACAAAATTTCAGCTTATATTTAGCAATTTAACCATAGTTCTTGAGCATGAGGTAATTTTTATGTTGTCAAGTTAGCCAATTGGTAAAGATAACAAAACCACGTGTTTTATGGGAGACTTTAATTTCTCGATAAGAATTTAAAACAAGCAACAAAAATTTAAAAAAGAAGGATGTGCCTGTGTTGAATGTATGGATTATTGGATATGATAAGCGTATGAAATTATAAAAACAGCATATGTTTATATAATGAAATTGCTTGGTTTTCTCACTCCATCGGGAGTGGGGTGTTGGAACCAGCTCAAACTCTGTCTTAATCCATCATTCCTATTCAGACAATGTGGATTTCATTTAATATGAAGTGATACTGATATGAAACGTTCTTTGCTATTTTTGAATTTTTTCTGGAAGATTTCAATATCGTCAAAATCAATTTTGTGGCCTGATTCTGTAGCGTGTAGACCTACGGCTGGTGATTTTTCAAGCTTTTCTAATTCAGCTGGATTTCTCAGTTGTCGAATAGATGCTTTACGGTGTTCATTGCTTCTGATCTTGATTTCTCGCTAGGCTTGTCCTATATATGTCGCATCACATTCAAAGCATTTTATTTTATAGACACAATTAGATAGTGGATCCTTTTGAATTTGGTCTTTTACATGGACAAGGTTGCTTTGCAGTGTGTCTGATATTTTGAAGATAAATCGGACGTTGTGTTTGTCGAATACTCTTCTGATATCATCTGACATTTCTGACCAATATGGAATGACAACTGTTGAGGTCAATTTCTTCGGAGTACATTTTCGACCACATTCAATGTTGGTATTGATTTTAGTAATGAAGTTTTTTAATTTAGTAATGTTTGATATTTCTTCTTTTTCCTTCTCATCCGTTATTAAAGAGTATGCCCATCTAAGAAGACTTGAAATAACTGATACCTTTGCAATGATTGGGTATGATGATCCGAAGTCTAAATACTTGTCGGAGTGGGTTTTCTTCCTGAATAAAGATATATTAAAATATCCTTTTTCTTTCCTCTTCACTACACAATCGTTTAGTTTTTCATTCATTGGGAAATACAAAAACTTTTATAATAATGAATATCACATATCCAATGCCCAAATACTTTTCAAGTTGTTGAAAGTGAACTTGGTTTGCACATATATAACATGACACAACTAATTTAATCAGAAACACCACTAAGTAAACGCTCCTTTTATTCATTAATACTCTAGTGTTAACATTTCCATGTAATTTTAAGGAGTTCATTTGTTAACATTTGATTTGTTTTTCCAGTTTGACCACCGTGGATTGATACCAGTTAGAGAACCATTGAAAACCAACACAGAGTAATGGACAGCTGTTTCGTCCTAGTTAGGGACTCATCGACAGTACGCGCACCCACCACGAAGGTTCGAACCCAGCACCTTCCGATAACAAGGCAAGCTCGTATGCCATTCAGCCATTGGGACCCACCCGACTCAATGGCCAGTCTGTGAATTCTAACTTCTACCAATTCGTGATATTTACCGCGACCAGCAACCAATGTCATCGGCGGGAAATCCAACCTCACTCCCGACTGGATGCACCTCACTGGTCACGACTTTCCATTTTTATTTTAATTTTATGTTTATATTCTTATTGAACTATGATATTATGAATGTAAATGTCCAGTTTAATTATTCCTCCCTCCCTATACTACATGCTGAAAACTCCACATTGTACAAAAGTATTGTTTGGAATAAAGCAATTATTATTGTTTTTATCAGACGATGGCGGAGATTTATAAAATGGTGATGGAATAATGTATAATTGGATATATAAGATTTATAAAAAACAATCCAGTGTCACTTTCTTATAAGCTCATTTAACCATTTAATAGTCTCTGCAGTAAATTTGGCTAGTGTTATTGACAAACGGGATGTATTTGCCCACAACCTTTTGGAACAATCTGATCACACAACTACTTCTTGATTCAATTCATAAAAGGATGTAAAAGTGGGAGGTAAATTAAAATAAATAAAAATAAATATATTTCACTAGATTGATTGGTGGTGGCTAGCAGTACGCACGTTTCATCCTATTCAGAATTCATTAGTTGGATGTACCTGAATCTCCAGTGAGTGATGTGTTGTTCTCATTGAGACTCAAGCCCAGTATTCATCGTTTTGAAATGTCAAAAAGAGTCATCTAGTAGTTACTGAGCTACGACAATCACCTCTAGTGCAACAGATATGAGTTATAATTGAGCTTTTGAGATTAAATAAGATGGTAATTGATATCACCCTTGATAATATAATCAGATAAGAAATACCAAGGTAAGTTAGGCGTCATTATTGTTTGTTCCTACATACATGTACGCACAACAGGTGGAAAGGAGCTTAATTTTGTGAATGGTTATGGCATCAGCACATTTCCCTATACGTCTCTGACGGTTCTTGTACAGAATTTTGAAAGTTGTTTTAACTTCATTCTGACTTTATTCTTTTATGTCACGTATCTATCAGAGTTAATCAACAAAAGAAACCATAGAAAAGGTAACAGGAATTCAAGCGAACGTATATATTCCTAGACAAATAGCATCAAAATTGTGAGTAACTTATGGTTACTAATTATCCCCTTGTTGATAATTGATTAACAGAATGCAGTAGGCATGCAGTTACCAAAGATTGCTACTAAATGACCCAGTTCATTACTGCTATATTTAGCTGTGAAGGGAGTGACGAGAAAATACATCGCACTGTTCAAAGCAGTCTACTCAAACTCATAGAGCCTTGTAACAATTTATGGTGAGTTGTCATCCGAAGTAATGACAGAGGCAGTGCTGTCCGGCAGGGATGCCTACTGTACCGATTTCTTTTTAATTTTATAATAGATGCACTTGTGAAAATGCCCCCAACTGACTTCAGCAACTTAGGGATCTACGTGTTACCAGGGAATAATTCTGTTGACTTAGAATATGCAGATGATACAGTCCTTCTAGGTGAAGACGCTGATAAAATGCAGAATCTTCTGAACTCCTTGAGCAGCAATCTTCGAGTGTTTGACATACGAATCGCTCCCTTTGTCAAATGTAAGATGATGATGCAGGATTGGACTACATTGACTCCTAGCTTAAAGATAGGCGAGAGTGAAGTGGTAGAGCGTGTTGACCGTTTCACTCATGTAAGAAGATGCATCAGCCCCAACAGACTGATTAGTGACGAAATCACAACACGGATACAAAAGGCTTGTGTGGTATTCGCCAACTTAAGTCATCTCTGGCGTAGATGTGGTATGTAACTGGTTATCGATCAGAGGAAATGTGCACTACGTAGAAGTCACTTCGCTCCGTCTTCCAACGCCTTCCTTGACGAGCAATGTTAGCTGATATAGGATGGGTCAGGTTGGAAAAGAGAAGGCTAGGTCAAACCAAAACATGAGATCAGTCTATGAAATCTTTAACAGTTAGTTTGAGTCGGCCGAGTAGGGAGGTGTAGACTTCTTAAGTAGCTGGGGTCCTCAGGATGATAAAAACCAATGGCTGGAAATCATTCTAAACGGTGCAGATGCATTCATCACTTTTTATGATACTCCATATCTAATAAACCCTATTGTTTTCCCATGTTATTCTTCTTCCTCCCGCGCATCTTGTGCTTGTTAAAGTTCTTCGAATAATTTTTCTCTCTCTCTTTTGTCTTCCTATGTGTTCTACATGGAGTGTGGCAACTCGAACTGCTGAACTTCTGCACAAAGTTCTATGTTGAAACCAGTCGTCAGTCGTTCACTGCTATGTTTTAGCTCACTAACTGTATAACAGTAGAATTGAAGGAATTACAAAAGGAGTATTTCTTTATTAT